TGGAGTCTGGGTTGGATCTGTTTACTTCTTGGGTGGGGCCCTTTATGTATGGTTGGGCGAGGTCTGTTATGTATGGTTGGTCGGGGCCCGTTATATGAGTTGGGCTGGGCCCGTTGCATATGATGCATTTATGTGTATAGGAGTTTTGTTTGCTCGACGCTAGAGTCGAGGATTGTAAAGTGTATGCATTGTATGTATGGTGAAATATGTGGTATACTGGGAACTCAGTAACTTTAAGTTTATAGTTGTGGATTAAACATTTTGCAGGTCGTTCGTGAGAAGATCTCGACATGACTTTACACATGCATTGAAGATGTTCGTTTCCGCGATTTTGTAAACTTAACTCGGATAATTTATGTTTTTCAACAAATCAAATGTTATTCACTAGCTTTTGAAATAAATGTTTAATTGGTAAATCTGTTTTATGAAGAAAAATCTCTTTATAATTTCGGGACGTTAAATTATAAGAACATCGTATATTATAAAAATTATTGGTTCAATTTCTGCAGCAACACATGTTATAAACCCTCGTTTTTTAACAAAGTTAATAAGGGGATATTGGTGGATTACCCGATTTGTAAAAATCGGCAATTTGAGTTTTGCTCAAATTGAACTTTTTACCTAATTGTTGTATGTTATAGTTATAGATAAGTTAATTCTTGTTATAGTTGGAGACTAGTACATTTATTTAATTAATGTATATTTAATTTTTCTGACATTTAAAATGTATTTAATGCATGTTTGGTGACTACTGTGATTTTGTGAAAGGGTGCTCCTATTAGCACGAATTTATTCGTGTATAAGACTACTTGGTGTGGGCAACATGTTATTACATGTTACCACACCCAAAAGGTGTCATGTCAGCATCTTAGGTGGAAATGGACAACATCTAATAACATGTGATAACACCAATTATTTTCTATTTTATTTTATTTTATTTTTTTATGTTTTTTTTCTATATTTCGAATTTGTTTTTTATTTATTTATTTATATCATAGTATTTGTATTTATCATATAACTTAAATCATAAATTAAAAATAACATTTGAAAAGTAAAAATAAAATTTTAATAAATCTTAAATTAAAAACAACATTAAAAAAATTACAACAAAACACAAAAAACATTTGAAAACCTAAAAAGCAAAAAAAAAGATGATAAAACCGAAACTTTTTGGCCTAAAACTATTCATCTTCATATTCGTGACCAACATAGATGTAATCCACCAAGTCTTCACAGAGTTGCTTGTGTTTTCACTGATCTTGAATATCAACCACTCTATGTAAATATTTCGATGTCTCTGGTTGAAATTGCACATGTCTTGGCTCCGTAGGCGAATACGTTGCAATATTGCGTCCTTTATCTTCGACAACCATGTTATGCATTATGATACATGCATACATGATATATGGTAGAGTATCTAACTCATAAGGTCTCGCTGCATGTTCAACTATGTGCCATTTTGATTTCAAAACCCCAAAAGCACGTTCAACGTCCTTACGTGCTCCTTCTTGTCGTCTCTTGAAATATTTGTCCCTTGGGTCTAGTGGGTGTCGAAACGCCTTCACAAACGTGGAATATTGTGGATATATTCCGTCTGTAAGGTAATACCCAAACTTATATTCATTTCCATTCACTGTGAAAGGAGCATCCAGGGCTTTTCCTGACAAAAGATCGTCAAATATTAGTGATTGATCGAGAACGTTGACATCGTTGTTAGAACCCGCAACCCCGAAAAAAGCATGTTAAATCCATAAATCTTGTGAAGCAACAGCCTCTAATACCAACGAAGGCGCTCCATGATGACCGCTCGAATACTGGCCTTTCCACGCCACGGGGCAATTTCTCCATTTCCAGTGTGTGCAGTCAATGCTCCCAAGCATACTCGGAAAACCATGTCTTTCTTCATGCGCCGCATATAGTTGTTGCATATCATGCAACGAAGGTTTGCGTAAGTACTGGTCACCGAAGGTTTCGACAACACCTCTTGCCAATAAATACAAACTTTCTCGTGCGGTCCTCTCAGACATTCTCATATAATCGTCAACAGAATCGGGCGACTCCCCCATTGCCATAAGTTTAATTGCAGCAACACATTTCTGCAACCCTGTGAAGCCTCGTTTGTCTCTAGCATCATATCTCAATTGGAAAAATTCATACCTAAATATATATTAAACATGTAAAAATTATATTTATTTTATCTAATAGTGACATTTTATAAATTATAAAAGTTGAAACAAACGATACCTAAATATATATTAAACATGTAAAAATTATATTTATTTTAACTAAAAGTGACATTTTATAAATTATAAAAGTTGAAACAAACGATACCTAAATATATATTAAACATGAAAAAATTGTATTTATTTTATCTAAAAGTGACATTTTATAAATTATAAAAGTTGAAACAAACGATACCTTGCTTCCATAGCGTTGGCTATCCTTTCAAACATATTTTTTCGCAAACGAAAACTTCTTTTAAAATCGTTTGGCTGGTAGACACAATTTTCCGCAAAGTAATCGTTAACTAGCCGTTTATGCCCTTACTCACGATCTCTATTTAACGCCGCACGTCGCATGAGTGGTGGAGCTGGATCTGGCTATAGTAGACTGTTTGTATAATACCGGTACATCATACTCACGAACAAATCGTCTTCGTCGTTATCATCGTTGTACGGATGGGCCGGATCAAATTGATCCATATTTTGGTTTTGAAATATTGAAAGAAATATATAGAGAAGTATGTGTTTTGTAGGTAAAAATAATATAGGTTATGTGATAGTATATATAAAACTTGATTTTTTTTTATGTTACCGTTTGAAACAAACAGTCAAAATTATGGCCGTTGAAGTAAAAACACAAGCAATAACGTACGTTACCTCCCGTGCTCACCATAACACGTTATGTCATAACACCTAATAACGGCTAGGGGGTCGGTGTTCCTCCCGTTATGACGTCGTTATTAGGTGCCATGTCAGCAATAACGGGAACCCCCGTTGCCCACACCCGTCGCTCTAAGCAATCATTAGACAATCAATCCCATCATCATATTTGTTGATTCCGTATTTTCAATTGTTTTTATTTTTTTCATTTTCTTCCCTTTCAATTAGATGTAAGTTAAAAAACAAACATTTCTACTTTTTATTCTTTTTAATTTCAACAACTTTATATGAAATACACATATAAAAATAAATACTAAAATATCTTTAAAATATATATTCAAAATAATATCAATTAAAATGTTAATGTATGTATTCTGACCATTTTCAGTAAATTTATTTTTCATCAAAACGTTAATAATATATTTTATTATTTTTAAAATTCATATTATTAACGATCAACCAATTTATAACTTTTCTAACCCATTTCTAAAAACATTATTTAAGTAAAATTAAGTAAATTAATCATCTATTCAATTTAATATATTAAAATGACAACTGATCATTTCAATTATGGTTTTAAAATGTGTGTCAATCAGTGTCAATCAATTATATCGATAAGTAATATTATATTTTTATACCTCTAGTTTACGTTGTAGTTTTAAAAAAGACCCTATATTTTTTTTAATTTATATCTTAAACCCTTGAAACTTTATTAATTTTGAAAACTAACAAATAGAAACATATTATTTAATCATAAAATTTGTATAATAAATGATCTCATGAATACATTTACAAGAAGAGTAATAATGAATATTATTAAATATTTTTAAATATTAATAAAAAAAAGTTAATTTGTTAAATAAGAAATATAAACTATGAAACATTAACAAAAATAGAAGGGATAAAAATAAAAAATTGGTTTCAAATTCTTACTATATATAGACGATTGATATTTCTTATTTGTTAAACTGAAAATGACTTGCAATGTCAAGAAACTTTCGTTAAAACCAAACATATGATATTTGTTATGCTGCTCACCTGAATTCCTACATATGATATTTGTTATGCTGATCATCATGGTCTGCTGGATGGGAAACTTTTTATGCTGTTCGCCTGAATTCCTACATTTCTAAATTTGCAACACACAGTAATTGTAACAATTCTACGGTTATAATATCTGATAATTAATAAAATCAAGTTTATGTTTTGTTATTTATAATTATTAAGATCTCTATAAATAAAAAAATTATTTTTTTTAAATTTAGCAAATAGTTTATATATATAAATGATTTTGATGAGGTAAAATTAATTTAATATATTAAAAGTGGTTAAAGTGCTAACTGTAATATATCAAGTCAATCAATTCGTCGTGTAAATGGAATTGGATTCGTATATTTAGAATAACTCTTAATTTTTCTATCGCATAAAATTCAACAGCGACAATTTTCCGTTCAATCTATCTTAATTTGTCAATTAATTTATTTACAACATGATTTTTTTTTTAAAAAATTCAACAGCGGCAATTTTACGTTCAATCTATCTTAATTTGTCAATTAATTTATTTACAACATGATTTTTTTTCCAATAATAATGCTATCAATATGTTAAAGATAGAATATATATTAATTATTAAAAGCTATAAGTTAAATTAAATTAAGATGTCAAAATAAAATAAATAAATAAATAAATTAAATAAATGATGTATAACTTGCATACATATTTAAAAGGGGTATAAATGAAAATATATATATCTTGAAATAAAATGTTTACACTCAACCTTATTTAAGTAATAAAAAGTAATGATTATGAGAAACTTCAAAACATCAATTCATTCGTGTAGATGGATAGTTGTTGGTGCAGTTAGAATCACCCTTTGTGAAAATGACAGTTAATATTCCTTGTTCTAGTCCAAAACTCTTTGGTTATTTAATAAAAAAGTCTTGTACTCGTTTATGCTCGTTGTTGGTTTTTCCTTTTAATAATATTTCTTCGTTTTTCCATATAAATTAATACAAAAGTTGTGTGACCCGATTTATACTTGAACATTAGGCTAATATATACAACATTCACACCAATCAAAAGAACTTATAAAAAATAAAAAGAACCTGAAAGACGAAAGGATAAAAACTAGCTTTTTCGAATAATTATTTAAAGATCCATAATATTTGGTACATGAAAATAGACACACCAACAATTTTCTAACAAAATATACGTAGTAAATTGTATCAGTAAAAATGAGACTCTAGCTAAGTCTCAACCTTTTCCCTAACTTTAAAGCCCTCAAGAAGCTTGATCTTCATATTAGCAAGGAGTTCTTGCATCTGTTCTCTTGAATGTAATGGTGCAGGGTAAACACAAGCACAATCCAACTGTCCATCTCTCACGGTATCAAAAATGGCAATAGAGGGGCCTATTCCATGAGCCGAGGCACACCCAATATAGTCATCCAGTCCAAATTCTCGTTCATAATCAGTAGAGATCTCGATGACTGGATCTTCAAAGACAGTTACCAAAGAAGTTCTCAATGAAGACGAAGGTGTTAAACTAGGGTTGTCAATGGCTTTTGACATGAGAAAGTTCAAGTCAGTCATGTCGGAAAAATGTTTGTTGTTCTTCTTAGAGTTTTCAAAAGCCTTGTAGATCTTAGTTGCCAAGTCCCATAAGGTTTCTTCTCCTTTGACTTCATGACTTGTAGAGATGGCAGAGTGGTAAAACCCTAAAAATATGGGGCAATATATAGTAAGGCCATCAATTCATTAATATAATTAATACGTAAAAACCTTATTTTTAAGTCAATTAGTTTATGCAAAAATTATTCACATGACAATTATATTCATTTCAATATAAGTAACCAACTACTGGTCCACTCTTGGAGCATTGATTTATTTCATAAGAAAAGTTGCTTTATAATTTATTACAAATATTTGACATCAGTTCACTGAAAACGACTATATCGTGTTTGTACAGTGTATGGAAATGTAGGTAGATTCATTTATTGAAGTGCATGTTTGTGATGAGTCATACATCTTGTTTGATACCATCATGTCACAAAGATATTTGCAACGAAATAGTAAATTATCGACAGTTTTTATAATAACGGATTGAGAAATTGACAGATGTCATAAGCCATAGGCAAAATTCATACCCAAAATACATATACGTTCTTCTGTGATATGTTGTATATTTATTTATTTGTGGACTCAATATTTTCATATGCCCAAATATATATATATATATATTATATATATATATATATATATATATATATATATATATATATGAGAGACGGTTCACTTGATATTAAAAAAGAAGAGATCTTGATATTAAACCCGAACCACATATTTTTCATTTGCCGTTCTAACGCTCTAGCGTATCGGCAACAGTGGTGTATGGTTAATCAAAAATTATTATATGAAAGAGAAACATAATCAAATATGATTATACATGTTTATACGTATATGCCTAATCATAAATGATTATACATATATGTCTAGTAACAGATTGAGTAATCATATATAATTATGACGGTTGATGGCAGAAGAGATAGGGGTGGCAGAGATGACGGTGGTATAAGTGATGGAGGTGGCAGTGGTTGGGTCGGTTGGTGGTAAATGTGGTGGTAATGGTGGTGGCGGCGACGGTTGTAATGGTGGGGAAGGTGGCAGAGGTCAAAGGAATGGATAGCGTTACATAATCATTTATGATTATCACTGACCCGTCGTACCGGTATATATATATATATATATATATATATATATATATATATATATATATGGTTAAGTTCATGTGAGACCACTATATTTTGTGAGACGAGGAAACGCAATCCTACCTACACATTTTGTAGATAAAAAAAATATTTTTAAAATGAAAAATAATAGAAAATTTTCGAAAAAAAAATTAAAATATTATTTTCTTTATTTATATTTTTCAAAAAAATAATAATAAATAAAATTACCCTTTTTTTTAAAATATCTGTGAAATATTCTAGTAGAATGATAGAATAGTCTACATATCTGGCAAATCTAGTAGAATATTAGAATATTTTAAAATTCTAAAAATCACATTAGAATATTTATAGTGTAATATTCTATTAGAATATTTTACGTATTTTTTTAAAAAAAAACGGTAATTTTTTTTATTTATTTTTATTTTTTTAGGTAAAGAAAATGACGAAAATAATAATTAAAAAAAGAATTTCGGATTTTTTCTTTTATTTTGCATTTTAAAATTAGTTTTAGATTACGTCTCACGGTCTCGCAAAATTAATGGTTTCATTAAATTAATATATATATATAATAATATATATATAATATATATATATATATATATTATAATATATATATATAATATATATATATTCCTCTACGATATGCATATATGTCCTTAAACGTCATCTATGTTTTATGATATGCAATTCGGATCTCTTTAAATACTTTTTAATCAAAATGAGCATACCAAATTCATGGATAGACAAAGATGGTTGGAGATATGAGCGACAATCATTTAGAAAGATCACTCCATACTTCTTCAACTGATTCTTTTCGTGGCGTTTCACGGAATATGCTGCTAGTAGAGATGCCGCCGCTAGTGCTCCACACAATTTGATCCCTCTTAGCTTGCATCCCTATTAAAAGGGTCAATACATTAAAAAATGCATAACAATATTAGGGATAGAATGATATTATTCTAATATATATATATATATAGATATATATATATATATATATAATATTATATATATATATATATATATATATATATATATATATATATATATTATATATATATATATATATAGGTAGGTTCAAATGTGGATTGACATTTATTGTGCGGACGTGTGGATAGTGCTATTCTGTGAGAATGACAAAAAAAATATGTTGTTTGATAATATGAATACGTTCAATCTTACATAACTATTGTCATTATCACACATTTTTACTAATTAAATCTTCTATAAGGTTATTATAGAGTTTTTATTATTATTCTCATTCTTTCAGAATATTTATTGAGTAATATTTTGTAAGAATGAAAATAAGTGAAAAAAGATGTTTGAAAACAAAAATGAATAAGAATTAGTGAGAATACATAAAAATAACGATAGTTGTGTGAGGTTGAACGTATTCGCAATCCTAAATAACTTATTCTCTTAGTAATTCTCATAGAATAGCACTGTCCACACGTCCGCGCAATAGTTGTACATCCACATTATAACCTAGCCCTATATATATATATATATATATATATATATATATATATATATATATATATATATATCTATCGCATTATAGTAAAGTATAATTAGAATATTAACCTATGATTATTAATATGTCATGGCTGAATAGTGTTCTAAGGTGAATTTTAACGTTAATTATTCATATATCATTGCAGAATAATCACATAAAGTGATATATATATAAAATTTATAAGAGAATAATAACATATAAATAATGTCTTTACGTATTCATTTTATCTAGTGTCTTCATTTGAACCATTTCTAATGGGATATATTTGGTTTGAAACAACAAAACAACGAAAAAAAGAATAACTAGAATATATAATATAATAGAACGAAAAACGAGGTAATTGAATGAATATTACTTATTGTAATATATGGTTACAATGAAAGAATATGATGAATCATTTAAAAATGTTTTTGTTAATAATAAATAGAAAAAATTAATAAATTTAAACTTAAAATGTGTAAAAAAGATTATTCTATTATAATAAACTTCATTTAAATGAATGTATATAGTTAACAAAATTTGCATATAATTATATGTCAATTCGTCTAATATGCTATATTTATTTCCAAAGAATTAAACAATACATCTTTCATATAAAATAACTGTTAGCAAATAAAAATTACCATGAAATCTTAGAATATAATTTTACTAATAAAATATTTTTTAGTTATTTTGTAAAAATTAATTTAACTGATATTTTTTATTTTTAAAATGTTTATATTATTGAAGACTATGTGAATATATATATATATATATATAATATATATATTATATATATCTATATATATATATATATATATATAAAACATCACTCTGTTACTTAAAAACAATGAAAAAGAAAACAACCATCCCTCGTTGAAAGGATTGCATTTTACAAAAAATACTTTATTCCATTCTTTTGTAGCAGTTAAAATGATTTTTTTTTGAATTTTTTTTTTGTTTCTGCGTAATATTTTATTTATTCACATTATTACGGATCAATGTCTTTATGGAAAGAAGTAAGAAAAAATAAGTCTTCCTAGTTGATGGATGAATAAGTCAAGTTGCAACAAATCTGTCTAAAAATAAAATATTAACTTTTTAAATTAGTCAAAGAAGAAAACTTTATTTTGTTACAACGGAAAGACACTAATTATCATTATTGATATGTCTAAGCAAAATTATCATTATTGATAGGTGTCTAAGCAAAATTAATTTCACTAGTACATATAACTATCATTTTTTATTATTAAATAACTAAGAAAAAACAATATATATTGATGGGTGAATACTTAGTCAAGTTCTTTTTTTAATTCTTATAGATATTGACCTCAATGATTAATAATGTTTTTTAAGAAATTAAATATCCTTCTATTTATTTTTCTTATCCATCTTAGTATCACTTTTAGATGGTGACAAATATAATAAAAATTTATTAATTTTATTAAATATAATAAATGTATAATATTAAATGAATTTGGTTAGCGGCCCAGCTTGTTACCCGTTTGCCTTCAATCGATATGTAATAAACTATATTAATGTGATTCAATATTTATTATAGCTTGTTGCCCGTTTGCCTTCAATCGATATGTAATGAACTATATTAAAGTGATTCAATATTTACTATGTTAATTTTATACAATGTATAGGAATGAAGATGGTAACATAAAAATAAAATAAAATGATATTTGATTTCTCATATATAAATGATGTTTTTTAACCGAATAAATGTTTGAATATGAATAATAAAACAGTACTTATGGTACTTTAAACTGATGTTAAAGGTTATAGTGTTTTATATGTGATTTTGAAAAAACATGTATTTAAACTGAATGGTGTAAATTATTTATCTTAACATTCATTCTTGGAAGTTACAATAGGATGATGAAAGGCAAAATATGGTAGAATGAAAAGAAACTTTGAATTTGAACAGCAGAAGTGTGCCGGTAAGAATTGCCGCCGACGATTTAAGCGATGCGGGACTGCCGCCGCTCATAGGCATACCGACTGCAGTATCACCACCGTACCCCACAGATACCCAGAGTCTTATAAAAGTAATTTATAAATGCATAAAAGTAACTTCAAATACTGACACAATGGCACGCATCAATAATGAAGTAATTATATAATATGACTTAGAAAAAGAAAGTGGAAAATAAAAGCCAATAAAATTTCATTTTTACTTTATCTTTTTACATCATTTTATCTATCCAATATTGATTTTTTTTTCTTTGTATCGTCATTTGATTTTGATATTTATTATAAATAAAAATATATAATAGGAAGATATTGATCTCTAAAAAACCAAAGCATATTATAACCAATTTATCAACCTTAACCACAAACTTTACATAGATTTGATATCTAATCTTTATTTATATGTTACCGATTCATCCAACATGCTTTTTTTATAAATTATGCAACTATTTTATATATTTCTTTTTTATAAAAATGTGTAATATTTATAACTTTTTGTATATAGTTAGATAAGCAATAATCCAAATAATTATACAGACTTTGTTGCGCCAAGTATGACAATGTAGATGACATGACACTAAAATTAAAATAATAAGCCATAGGAAAATCAGTTTTCTGCTGAAATGTTCTATTGTGTCTAGAAAGTTAAAAGTTTATAATATGACTCATGTCTAGAACCATTTTGATAGATAGATCGCTAAAGATAAATGGTTGTTGTTTAAATGAATATTAATTAACCCTGAATTCAAAAAGTTAAATAAAAGAATAATAATTGCTACATTTTTTCAGTGGTAAAATTGGCAGTGCAAGTATTTTAGACTGAAATTTGAGTTTATAGATAAATAAAAAAAAATCAATACATATATACTTGTGAAACAAACGTATATTAATAGTAATATTAATAGCTAGTAATATTATAACTTTCTAAATAGCTTTTTAAAAAACCTTATAAAGATGGTTAGTTATACTACTCTTTATACTCCTATTATGTCTACTTTTTAGAAACAAACAAGAACTCTAATTAAATGGATTAAGAGCACTTCATGACTGTGTTCGAAATGGTTGTTGCAATTTTAATGAAATAGACATAGGATCATAAATGTTATTGATGGCAGAGAGCAAGCGAACGAGGGACAGAAAGTTAGGCATTTGACCTAACATTTTGACTCGAATTGCATCTTCTGATATTCAATAATGAAAAAAATAAGAAAATAAAACATGTAGCCATTATATATAATGCTAAAGAACCATTGAAAAAAACGTAAGATATTAAGTAATGTTAATATTGATAATGTTTAACTTACAGCCAATAGCATCTGAGTTTCTTGTGTGTTCATCTTCAATCTCAACATCTCCGAACGCCTGGGTGATTTCACATCCTTAAACTTTAAATTTGTGAGCCTAAATGAGTTGACAGAGTATGCTACCATGTCTTTCCCATGTGCCCAAAGTGTCTTCTTAGCCTTTCCAATAGGAATAAGTTCCTCTATTCCCATATTACCTTCATCTTTATACCCTCCTCCCTTCTTCTGATCCCCCATCGCGTCATTTAACTCCTTAAGAAATGAAACTGCAGTGGTCCTATCACAGATCCCAGCGTGAAACCTCAAAACCAGCACCCATTTGTGATCAGCCAACGTGTACACGTTAGCAAACCATAAGTGCAGCCCTTTCATGCACGTCAAACGGCTAGTATCTTCGGACCACTCATTGATGTTGAGTTCATGCTCCAGGATCACATGTAAAGGCGACAGTGATGAGTAATTGGACCCACGGCTCATGAGGGTCTGCAGGAGTTCGGACGTTTTTGACAGGTTCATGATGTTAAGACGGAGGTGAGGGATAGAAGGGTTGATGGTGAAAGAGGCCGAGCCAGTGGAGCTGGTTTTCTGTAGCATGTAATTGAGGATAGGGTGGTCATTTTGGAGTTTTTGGAGGGCTTTCATGAACAGTGAAGTATTTGGCTCCTTTGAAATTTGGAGTGCCAATGCAGTAATGCCTGTCCCACCAGCCACTGCTTTGCACCAATTTTGCTCTGTTCCCCCTAACAATCTTGTTGGGGCCTCAACCTTTCTCGGAGCATCACCCATTTCCAATTTTTGTGTGTGAACGACTTTAGCTAAGGTTGGGTGTTACTTATAGGAAGCCATACTGAACCAAACTCTCAGAAGTTAGGTTAAATCTTAAATGATATTAACTCAGTCTTTAACTACTTCCTTATCTAGATCTGTATAAGATGTGGACCAGATGGCCCACTATTTGCTTAGTTAGTTTTAGCATACATTAAACTTCTATGGTAAATGTTCAATTTAGGAAAACAAAAGAATGAAATAATCTGTGTACTTAAGGCTACAATAACTCAGCTTGCAGCGACGAATCCCACGGCGACAACATCATGCTCTCACGATAGGTCGAGTCCCGGAGGTGACATGTTCAATTTGGGTTTCCGAAATTATTTAAAAATTTTAACTTACTGCGACCACAGATGTCTTCATATAAGAGGTTGCCTCTATTTTTTTAGTGGAACGTGATTTCTCAGTTCTCACTGCTACAAAAATTGGACATTTTTTATGGAATCCATCAGAAGGTATAGTGACTGATTTCCGACGGTTATTTGGGAAATCATTTCCCTCTAACTTTTTTGTCAAAAGTACCGACGACCTTATAATTTAACAACCGATTTCAGACAGAAAAGTCTGTCACTAATTACAGACCGCTTGTGACGAAATTTGGTGCGACTAACTGTAACCATTTTTGACGACCGACATATTGCAATAAAGTAATAATAATATTATTATTCTTATATTTATTAGTATTACTATTATATTTTTTATTATACATGCATAAAGAAATACGCATGCATGTATATACACTGTACACACATGGCACTACAAAAAATATAGGTATTAGGGACGACCTATGTCGCCCCTATGGCAGGGTCGACTCAACCACTTTGGGAGCTCAAAGCAACCCAAAAATTTGAGGCCTTTTGATAATTAGTATAGCTAATGTTATATACCGTCCTCTTTTATCCGGGCTTGGGACCGACAATAATAAACTAAAAAGTCTATAAATAACGAAATATTTTATTAATAATAACAATTGCGTGTTTTTCTGTCCCAATATTCAATAAGTATTTCTTATAGGTTTAAAGCTTCTGAGATGTATTGGTTTAAACCTTGGCAGTTTATTCCACATAATATCGCCAATTAAATTTAAAAATTAATTTTTGGTTAAATTCTTTTTAATCTTGCAAATTAGTTTTTATTTTTGCATGTTGTAATTAATCAAACTTGAATGGTTTAACGAACTAAAACATAACATACATGAGAGATAATTAAACTAATTAAAATGAAATAGTTGAGTTATGATCCTATTACTCCTGTGTTTGATAGAGAGAATACAAGGTATGATACATTTTTCAGTGAAATTTGAAAACAATTTCATGGCATTTGACTACAAGACTACAGGTCTACAATACAATCATATGACATGGAAACAAGATTAGAAAAAGAACAGATGGATCATGGAAATTGGAAGAAGTCGTATATTACCGTTTATGGAGAAGGCTTCAATGGAGAAGGAAGAAACCGCTTCAATGGAAATGGAAGAAACCAAAGAACAGATGGAACTTGGAAGAAGCCTTGTGCCGTGAAATCGTGAATCAGAAGAAGAAAAAGATCAAACCGAACACAGAATCTGTATGCAGATTACAAAATTGAAGAATGGAGAGAAAGAATATTAAACGTCGTTTTTTTTATTGTACTGCGATTAGTTTAGTGGTTTAGCGCCTTAGCCGATTAGGGAACATGGATATACTACATGGACTCCTTGGTTTGTGGGGGCCTCTAGATGTGGGGGCCCTAAGCCCTAACTTTGTTTCAATTAACATAAGGTCGGCCCTGGGTCATGGTACGTTGTTTTCTCGTTGCTATTGCCTGTTCGTTGTCACATCGTCACAACTAGTGTCATCGTAGATAGTGTCGCTCTTATTGCCATTTATCACTCGATTTTGGATAGAAAAGTATGTCACTAATTATTAGAGGCGGAATTTGGTGCGACTAACGTCAACTAGGGTTGATGATCGACGAATTGCAATGAAATGTTATTATATTCTTATATTTATTTGTAACACCTATGAGGTATTTTCATTTATGGCTTAAATTATAAAATTGTTGCTTTTTGGTCCATTACGTAGGGTGTAGATTGTAGCTATGCAGGGTGTAGATAAGGAAGTTGGACGCGGGCATCCCATGCAGTACGTAGGGCGTACCATGTGTACCCAGGGCATAATGCCGCTGAATCCAAACCCTCTTTTTTTGGGTTAAGACCCTACTTAAAGGCCTTATAACCCTTGAGGCCTCCCTTATCACCAACCTCCATCCCCCCTTTCTGTCATTTAGAAACCTTAGCCACCTTTTGAGGTTTTTGAGCTCTTAGAGTGATACTTTGTGTGTTTTTGTGCATATTGAAGAAGAAGGAGTCCATTGGAGAGGTGTTGGGAGCTTAGAGCTTGTGGATCTAGACTTGGTTTTTCATTTAACATCTTATGGAGGTATAAAACTCTAAACTTTATGGCTCCTTAGTTTAGATCTAGTTTGGGTTATGTTTTGGCATGTTTTGGTCCCATGGCTTTGGATCTTGTGAGTATGAGCTACTCCTGAACCCTTGAGCATCATTTCTAGCCATTTATGAGGTTATTAAGTCATAAAAAACGGGTCTTGAGGGTCTTAGTCCACCCATGCATGAATCGTTGGTCATTTTGTGAAGTTATGAACCTAGGGTTTGGTTTTGAGCTTTATTAAGTCATACAAAAGCTTAAAGTTGTCCATTTTATCAATTAAGACCTTCCTAAGATTAAGAGTTATGAGTTGGACGTATGGTATTTAAGCATTAAGAGCTTAATGGTGATTTTTAGGCAAAAGAGGAGTACGCGGGCATACCCTCTTAGTATGCATGGTGTAACGGGTTTAGCCCGAGTCCCATTTCTATTGAAGCCCAATAAGCAGGGTGTAATAGGGAGGTAGGCATGGCATACTCTCAGAAGTCCTTTTGGGACATTTTGGGCCATGGGTCATTATGGGTTTTGGGCCATGATTAGTTGGGTCAAGTTTGGGAAGGGTAAAATGGTCTTTTACCCTTAGTAAGATAGAATATGATTTGGTCCATTGATTATGGGTTATTACCGTTATTAATTAGAGTTGAACTTGGATATGTTCAATGTGAGGAGTTGTGGTAGCAGCAACTCGGGTGTGAGATTTGTTTATTATCAGATTGAGGTGAGTCTTTTCACTATACTTATGGGTCGAAGGCACCAATTGTAACGACCATAAAACTCGAACCAATTTAAGACATTTTATTTCATTTCAAAACCATTAAGTTCATACATCTTGTTTTCAAAATAGTTTAAACATCAGAGTATCCCCAGAACCATATCCCATAAATCATAAAACATGAGGAGCGGTATGATCACGCCTACGCCTTGCCACGATCTCCTGAAGTACCTGAAACAATAAACTGCAAGTGTAAGCCCGAAAGCTTAGTAAGTTCCCCCAAAGTACCCATACACACATAAACATACATACAGCAAAGAACAACATGCTATGGGTCCAATCAACCTTCCGGTTGGAATACCCCTGGCCCTCAACCTTCGGGTTGGAATGCCAACATACTACGAGCCCAATCATCCTACCGGGATGGAATACTCTCGGCCCACAACCATCGGGTTGGAATGCCCATACACCTATACATACTACTACAACTACTATGGGTCCAATCATCTCGCAAGATGGAATACCCTCGGCCCCTCAACCATCGGGTTGGAATACCAATCTACTATGAGTCCAATCATCCTACCTGGATGGAATACTCCAGGCCCCTCAACCATCGGGTTGGAATGCCCCACCTCCTATAATATAGTAACAACTACCATGGGCCCAATCATCGCTCAGGATGGAATACCCCAGGCCCCTCAACCATCGGGTTGGAATGCCAACCTACTATGAGTCCAATCATCCTATCTGGATGGAATACTCCTGGCCCACAACCATCGGGTTGGAATGCCCCTATACTAGCAACATGTATACATAACAGGCAACCACATAACATTCTACAGAATCAACATACTAGGGCCCTATCATCCTACCGGGATGGAATACCCTCTGCTACGGCTCAACATGCATATCCCACGGGTAACCTCCTACCAGCGCACATAAGGCAAGACCAACTACAGGTCTATACTCATAACCACTACCCAACTACCAGGGTGCTGATCCAACAGAACTAGCCATCACTTAACTATCCCATCCTCTAGGATACTAAGCTAACCAAGCATATCCTCATATTATTATCCTATCTACCAGGATACTAGCAAGCATATCATCACAAAACATAACAGGCTCTAAACAACAATTCAAAGGGCCGGCCTTGGTGCCTTAGACCCTTGAGTACAGTGAGGATAACTCACCTGAAATGAAGAACCGAACCACGAAAGTACACACCCGAAGCACTGCTCCAAACTCCAACACCTAATGCCATCAATGGACCATTAACATAAATAACCAATTTACCATAATACCCTCGGGGTCAAACTCAAAGTCCTGGCCAAAGTCATCCTTCCGGACTGACTCTACTCGCCGAGTCAACCCGTTGACTCGTCGAGTCCTTATACTTTGAAAACTCTTAGAACGCGACTCAACTCGCCGAGTCACCCCAAGACTCGTCGAGTCCAACGATCTCCGAGTCCCATCCTACTCAACTCGCCGAGTCCAAGAACAGACTCGTCGAGTCCAAGGCAATCTTCAACAGACTCGCCGCATTGTTCTTCCAACTCGCCGAGTCCATGCTCATGTTCATACAACTCGCCGAGTGCACCCATGTGACTCGACGAGTCTTTCCAGTTCTCAATCCATACAATGGCTTTTCGAGCCATGCAGGGGCTCCAATCCATAGATCTACTCTTCTACAGTCTAACCCTCACGTAAAGTGGCAAACTTTACGTGAAACCAAGGAGCTATAGGCCCAAAACACTCTAGGGCTAGGGTTTATGACAAAGGGGCATCATCAACGACTCATTGACATAAGCTTTATGACATTCTGGA